GGTGCTAGTCTAGGGTCTTGGAATTGATGCTTGGACTTCTTCCCCCTCCTTTGGGACCACTATGGTTAGGGTGAAGCCACAATCTCCCCCACTCCACCCCCACCCCTACAGGGTTGATTTCTACCCCCCTGGGGCAAAAGGTTGGCTGACTCATGAATCAAACACTCATTAAGGACTGCTGAGAAAGGCTTGATGCCCTCCCTTGACACCCTGTTTCTGCCCCTGGGGTTCCTGTTGTCCTGGGAATGTGTCCCTGTGATATCCCAGCAGTAGCTGTCTGCCTGCATTGGGTAGAGGAGGGCTGCCTGCCGACTTGGCCTGAGGTTCAGGAGGGGTGGGGAACAGAATCCCAGACAGGAAGCAGCCCTACCTTCAGATGGCTGGACACAGACCGGGTCCTCTCTGGTGACTGTCCTCTGCCCCTTCCCAGGCTCCAGCCTGGCTGCCTGCCATTTAGCTTGTCCCGTTGGTGGCACCTTTCCTCCCTCTACGCAGCGGAGAGGGTGCTGCCCCAGAGCTGGGGGCCTGCTTTCCTGTAGAGGCAAGTTCTGAGTCGGCCTTAAGAGTAGCAACAACATCCGTTGCTGCTGTTGTTGCTGCCGAGCTACACCACTCCCAAATGTGCTTGGGATCAGATCAGTTCCGTGGCTCAGCTGAGGAAATTGAAGCTCTTAAAGGGAAAGAGGCTGCCTACCAGTAAGCCCAAAGGAAGTTGCTTTCCAGGTCAGGTCTGCCTGACCCATGCACTCTGCCTTGAGAAGCTGCTGGTCTCTGTTCTTTGGTCTCAGGCAAGGAGTTTATCCACTTGGCCAAGGGAGGATCGAAGAGAGGGTCTGCTTGTTAAGTCACATAAGCCTTGGGTTTGCACATTCAGCCTTGTGGCATTCTGCCTCCATCCCTAAAGCTGCTCCTGTTGCCAAGCAGCCAGTGTGTCCTGACGCATAAAAACAAAGACAAAGCCAGTTAGTGTTGAGGCAGACCATCGCTGACTCCCCATGCCATGTCTCTTTGCGTAGTCTGTCTGCCCAAGGGTTACAGCTCTCCCCACCCCCAACTGCAAGCCCTTGCTGTGTGACTTACCAGAGAGGAGGGCGGCTGTGCATATGCTTGAGGCTAGGATTTAAAACTTGGTCTTTGTGATTTAACATCTGTTAGTCTTCTGCACCCCACAATATGTGAGGCGTTAGTGTACACATGCCCCCAGACTGTTGGTGAGTGTGCAGGTGGGCTGCTGTGCGGCTGGCACAGCTCAGGAAGTGGTCTTGGGATTAGAACATGTTTGCGGCACTTACTGAACTCGAGCTACAAGAGACCTAACTCTCCCGACACCGCACGAGACTGCTTTTTGGGCAGGGGAAGTGGCTGCTTCAACTTAATTTCTTGAGTTGTGGCAAGCTGTAGTGCAGCTCCGCCTTGCCTGCGTTTGGGTTTGCCCCGGCAGAGGCCGGGCATGTGGCTGCAGTTCTCTCCCTTGCTGCCCTGTGTCAGTGGCATAAGGCGCCAGGCGCGAGGGGCAGGCATTCTCCAGCGGCCCTCACAGGGCCCTGACTGCGACGCCTAGAGAGGGGACTCCCCGTTGACTGATGGCAGATCGCAGCTGAGAGTGAGGACTGCGCAGGGCCGCACAGCTAGAATGGAAGCCTGGGCCTAGCAGAGAAGGGAAGGGAATGGCTCATGAGGGCCCAGACTACCAGGTCGCCTGGCACTAAGAAAAGTCTTTAGCACCCCAGAGCTGGCATGTGATGCTAGTCCTTGGCCCAGGGCAGGTGGCTCCTCATCAGCCCAAAACCTGTTAAGGAAACCCAACTAGTTCCATGACAGCGCAGACAGTAAGAGCCAGTGGCTAGGTCCTCCTGACAGCCCAGGCAGTTTGTCTTGTCACTATCTGCTGTGACGCCCGCCCCGTCTGAAGCCTTGGGACCTGGGGGGGTTGGGGAAGTGAGCACATTGTGGGTCCTGATGGGCTGAATGGGGTTGTATTGACAGCACCCTAAGAGGTCCTCCTTGGTTGGGGTGACTGTGGAGAAAGAGGTCTTCGTCATCAGGGGGAAGCCCTGCACTCCTCCCCTCTATGTCGGACGTGTCTGGCCACAGGCATCCTGGTTGTGGGATTCTGACCCACATTCCCTGGCTCACTCTCCTGTCTCCAGCCTAGCCAGGGCCTCTCAAAGCCCCCGGCTTTTCTGTTTGAATGTTATCCTCCCACTGTGGGTCAGTGGGCTTCTGGGGACAGGATGCTGCTCTCCTGCTCCCCTAAGCAGGTCTTGCCTCTCCAAGCCCCAGACCCTTGGAGGGCTCTCCTGTCCTGCCTTTTCTGACCCAGGTCATGCTGGGAGGGTCCCTCCCCTCAGAGGCCAGGTCTATCTCGGCACTCCCATGATGGCAGTCTCGTGGGCACGGAGAGAGACTCAGGAAAGGAGACTCCGCTCTGTTTGTTCTGGGAGGCAGGATGATGCTGGGGGTGGGGTTAGGCCATTGTACAGGATGGGCTTTTAAGGAAGCTTACAGCATGTCACCCTGGTGGTGTCCTTTTACGCCCGCTGTTGGCACAGTGAGCTTGGAGAGCCAAGTTGACTCCTCTGTAGGCAAACTACGGAAGTTGATGGCTAGTGGGAGCTTGGGAGACTTAGACTGTGCCTACCTGGGCACCGACTGCGGTAAGAGCTTGTTCTGCCCCCAACCTGATCTCGGTAGAAATGTGGCCAAGAGCGTGAGACAGGCCAGAGATTCACTTAGGGCCTTCCAGCAGAGAGAGCAGAGCATGGGGTAGGCTCGGGGGAGCTGGCGGCTGGGTTCTGATGGAGGCCCCGGCTGCTTGCCAAGCAGCAGCTATGGGGGCACTGCCCCTGGTGATGCAGGCAGCTCGAGAGGAAGGGTCCAGGCAGCGGAGCTGCGCTTCCTGGCCCGTGTGCATGTTTATGTGTGCGGTGCGCGAAGGTGCAGGAGCATGTGACGGCAGCTCTGTTCCGGAAAAACGAGCTGGTTTCTGTTTCAGAGAAGAGACCTCTGTGGGTTATTCTGCAGGCTCTGTCTTGGGCCTTTCCCATGTTGCTTCCATCCTTGGGGACTCTTCTCAGGTTGGCCTTTGTGATTCAATCCCTGCCCCTCCCCATTCTGACCTGAGTATAACAATTCATTTTAAAAACACCACTCCCATTTTGTTGCCCATTCACAACTCGTGAGCTTACTTCTTCTGTGTGTGCACTCAGGAACCACTTTACAGGCCATTCAAGACTTGCGGGGAGACCAGGAGCATATGTTCACATACCACCATGAAGTGCTGGGTGGCACTTTCAAGTGGGAGAGAATGGCACCTCGGAGGCGGACAGTCCCCACTAGGGCCAGGTGAAACTGGGCAGGAAACGCTGGCTCTTCTTGCCCGTGGCTAGTTTAGTTGGGGTGGAGAAGAGAAGGTGGGTGGGCAGAAATTGGCGAGGGGGTGGCGGGGTAATCACTGAGCCCGTTACCCATGGTGAAGGGCCCTGAGGGCACGCAAATCGCATGTTCTCTGTAGGCTGGCAGTAAGCAGCCTCAGGAGGAATCGAGTGGGGTCCAGAGGGACCAGAGTAACGTAGGAAGATTAAGAAGACTGAAGAATGACCATCTAGCTGACGAGGCGCACTCGGGCAGGGCAGAGTCGGGAGAGTCACGACTTTGGACCGGAAGCCAAGGCCCGAGGGGCTTGCCTAGAGCACAGAGCAGGACCCCGGTGGAAGTGGGACTGTTAGGCCAGAAGTGTGATGCCGTTTTTGGAGGTGTGATAGAGAGGGGCCAGCTGAGACTGGAGGGCTGGGGAGAGAGCCTGGAGGCGTGGACTCCGTGGGGCTTCACAGCCAGAGTGGTGGTGCAGTTTGGGCAGGGAGGGCCCTGGGGGTGCTGGCGGCCAGGCGGTGTCGGCACTGCTGTCCTTAGCTCCGCACCTGCTGGCCGCTTGGGCTGGGAGCCCTTGCAGGGCCTCTGGGCCTCAGGGTTGTCTCTGCCGCTGGCTGAGTCAGGCTCCTCTGGAGGGCCCTTCCTCCCTAGCTCTGCCTCTCTCTCTGGCCTGTCCATGCCCCCAACGAGCCCCAGGGGCTAGTTGCATCCTGCCCCCGCATGGACCAGAAGCTGTGCACTTGCGCATACTTTGGGGAGGGGGCCAGAGGAGGGAGCCAGCACTGAGCGAGCTCCGCCACGGGGCTTCGAGCTGTGTAGTCCACACCCTGGCGTGCTGCCACTACGTTCTGTCAGTTAAGCAATGGGATAAGAGGACTGACACTCCGCTGTGGCCACAGGGTTAGTGCAAGGTGGGACTGGCGTTCTCTTGTCTAGGTAGCCTCACCCAGGGCCTGCCTGACTTTTCTGTCCCCCTGCCCACTAGAGAAAAGCAGCCAAGCCCTGTGCTGTGTAGATGGTTAACCAAGACTCTGTCCAGTTAACTGCGTCACTTGGAGTTGTCTCCCAAGTTCTCCCAGTGACCGAGGCTGGTGTCTGTCACTTAGACCTGTGTGCTTCCCTGATCTGTTTTAGGTCAGGGACCAGCTGTTTGGGGAGACAAGGCCTCTTGTGGAGACTAATTTGGGGGTCTTTGAGGGTGAAACATATCAAGGGCGTGCCCAACTCTCTGGACTTGAGCCCCATTTCCTCCTGTGGATCCTGAGCTCCATGTGGGACTGCCCAGCCCCGGGCCCCCTCTTGGGACTTCACCTTGTGTGCTTTGTGTCTGGAAATGCGCCTCTTAGAACAGCCTTTGCTCAAGCCCCATGTCCAGCTTTCCCCAGGTCCGAGTGACCTGCCTGTATCCTCAGCAAGGGAGCATACACAGGGTGGACGGCACTCCCTGCTCCCTCAGAGGGCTCGGTCCAGCCGCTCACCTTCTAGCTGAGGCCTAGGGTTGGCTCTGCCCTGTGGGGGGTCTCTTTTTTGGCTTCTTCCTGGGGGAGAGTGGGATGAGTGGGAAGCCAGGTGCCCTTGTTTTTGGGTTGTGACCCCAGCCTGATGTTAGCTGTCTCATGACATCCTAGTTGACATACGTGAAATCAAGGAGATCCGCCCAGGAAAGACCTCAAGGGACTTCGATCGCTACCAAGAGGACCCTGCTTTCCGACCAGACCAGTCACACTGTTTTGTCATCTTGTATGGAATGGAATTCCGCCTGAAGACCCTGAGTCTACAAGGTGGAAGTCTGGGGTCTGGAGGAGGTAGGGGCGGGTAAGGGCATGCCACTGGCTCCCTGCCAGTGGGAGGTGTGTTTCCTCAGCTCAGCTGTTCATCCCTGCACACAGCTACATCTGAGGAGGAAGTGAACATGTGGATCAAGGGCTTAACCTGGCTGATGGAGGACACGTTGCAGGCGGCCACACCCCTGCAGATTGAGCGGTGAGAGCCACTCCTGGCATGGTTGGGTCGGGGCGCAGACACTGGGTCCAGGGAGCAGGACGGAGCACAGGTGTCCTTGCCCAGGCATGGCCTGCTGATCTCCCCAGGCCGAGCTGCAGTAGTAGTGCTTACCCTGGCTTTCTCTCTCCCCAGGTGGCTGCGGAAGCAGTTCTACTCGGTGGACCGGAATCGTGAGGACCGGTATGTAGTAAGTCACGGCTCTACCTGGCAAGGTGGGTTGGAGTGGCCAGGACAGTAGCCATTCCTGGAGCCTACTGCCCAGAGAACAGGGGGGCCAGAAGGCTAAAGTAGGCTCAAGTAGGGCTCAGGTAGGGCCAGCAGGGAGCAAGTGGTTTTGTCCTGAGTAGCTTTCTGTGGAAAGTCCTCTGGTGAGAGAGGACAGGGACATTGTGCTTTGTGCCCTGCCACTGTGTACAGAGACAGAAGATGCTGAATTCACTCTTGGTGTTCTGGAAGTGAGGGTCAGGGTGGCCTGTAGTGCTTGGGGAGGTGGGGGAGGGCCTTTAAGCTCACAACTTTGAGGCTGTGGTGTGGCAGCCAGGAGAGATGACGTCATGGCAGGGACCTTCAGCCCTTGCTGTGAAAGAAAGTGACGTGACCTGACTTCAGTTACACAGGATTGCTGTCTGCTGTCAGAGTCCAGGGCAGGCCAGAGCTGGAGAACTGAGTTAGAAAGCGATTTCAGCATTCTGGGGACTGATGAGTGGGCTCGGCTCAGGGTGAGATCTGATAGGAAGTGGCTGGATTTTGATGGTGCTCTGTTTTGAAGGTAGAGCCCAATAGTTTCTTAACAAACTGCTTTTGGGGTGTAAAGCAAGAGAGGAGTTGAGGACAGTAGTAGGCTTTTTAGCTTGAGCATGTGAAACAGCGGGTTGCCACTGACTGAGCTATGGGAAGGCTGCAGCGAGAGCACGTTTAGGGGAACGCGTGACTTCACTGATGTTATGTCTATCTCACGATGCTCTGAGACCCCCAGGTGGAGGCACTGAGTAGGCAGGTGGGTACTTCAGGGGAGATTCGAGGCTAGAGATGCTGTCTTTAGAGTATATGGGTGGCACTGAAGGCCTTAGGCTGCAGCACCTCGTTGGCTTGGGGTAAGCCGAGCAAGAAAAGGGAGGAGGCCCAGTAGCTGCTCCCAGGTGGATCTGATGTTGGGGACTGGGTCGATGAGGAGGAAACCAACCAACAGAAATACTAACTGGTGAGGTTAGAGGGAAACCCAGAGGATAGCGTGTTCTGGAAGACCTGGGAGAAGGGAGAGGTCAGCTGTGTCAGGCCTTATCAGGAGATGTCCCTGGGGCTTAACAGCAAGATCATCAGTCATCTTAGGACAAGCAGTGTGTGTAAAGCATGGGGGACTGGTCTAGGCAATGACAGGGAGTATGAGTGACTCCTTCAAGGCAGTTCTGTGTGGGGAGCAGAGAAAGGAGCAGTGCTAGAGCAGTATGGGGCAGCAAGACAGGGTTATTTGGTGGCAGTGGTAACAGTCTGTATGTGATGGCAGAGTCCACAGATGGCAAGCTTGGTGCTAACAGGTCTGCTAACCTGGAATGCCAGGCCCTGACAGAGCCACCCCTGGGTGAGGAAAGTAAGAGGAACTGACGCCGCGAGCAGAGAGAGATCGCTTGCTCATTTGCTTGCTGAACTGCATTTTCTTCAGTGGCCCGGACCACACAGTGCAGAGCTGAATCCTCTCAGGGCGCTTTGTTGTTGTTATTGTTGTTTTAATATGTTATACATTTTTTCCCTTCATTTTTAAAAAAGATTTATTTATTTATGCACACAGAACTGGGGTACAGGCCAAAGGTGCAGGGGTAGTGAGAGGATTCACCAGAGACAGAGTGGGGAGCAGAACAGGCAGATTGACAAAGTGCACTGCTGAGGGGAGCAGCGCGTGGTCCGGAGAGGTCTGCCGCGGCTGTGGCTTGCTTCACAGTACTGTGCTTTACCCGGTGTGCTTTTACCAAGGAGGGCCCTTTTTCTTCATTTTTATACAATGTGTATGCTTTATCATCTTGTGTATGGTCCCCAATGAATTCCCACCACCAGTTCACCCCGTGCACCATCACCATAGTCCCTTGTGCTCTTCCCACTCCTGTTTTGATCTGATTTCCTCATCCTCCCCCCTCCCCTAACACATACACACAAAGAATGTCTCTGGTTTATAGTTGCCTGCTGATTTTGATTTTTACCTGGTTATAATTATTTCACCCACTCCATCCCTTATTTGGGTCCCCTACATTCCTCCTATAAGTGAACCCCTCTGGTATTTTTCTTTCTGGCTTATTTCACTGAGCATGATCCCTTCCAGCTCCATCCATATTTCTGTGAATGGCATGAGTATCTTTTTTGATTGCTAAATAACGGTCCATTGTGTACATAAACCACATCTTCTTGGTCTAGTCATGTATTTTTGGGCCTTTGAGTTGTTTCTGTAGCTTACCTATTGTGAATAGTGTTGCAATAAACATAGGCACACAGGTGCTCTTTCAAATTAATGTTTTTGTGTCCTTTGGGTAGATACTCAAGAGTGGAATTGCTGGAAACTCCATTTTTAGCAGTTTGAGGAACCTCCACATAGCTTTCCATAGTGGTTGGACCACTTCCTATTCCCACCAGCATTACAGGAGAGTTCTTTTTCACCACATCCTTACCAGCATTTGTTGTTGCTAGTTTTTTAAATGTGTGCCATTCTCACTGATGTATGGTAGTATGTGGCTTTGATTTGCACCTTCCTTATTACCAGTAATGTTGAACATTTTTTCATATGTGTTTGGCCATTTGCATTTCCTCTTTGGAGAAGTGTGTTTTTAGCTCCTTTTTTTGTTTTTTTTTTTTTTTAAATATTTATGCATACAGAACTGGGGCACAAGCTACAGATGTGAGTGGGGGTTGGTGAAGAGGATTCACCAGACAGAGTGGGGAGCAGAACAGGCAGAGCTATTGAAATACACTGCTGAGAGGAGCAGGGGCAGGGCAGGAGAGGTCTGCCACACCATGTAGGTCACCTTCCTGGCTGGGTATTGAACTCATGCTATCGTGGCTGCAGACCACTGAGGATCACTTCATATTGCTGTGCTCTGTCCCACTGCACCACCAGGGAGGACCCCTCTTTTTAGCTCTTCTGCTCTTTTTTTGACTAGGTTGTTTATTTGTTTTGTTGAGTGTGGTCAGCTCTTTGTAAACCTTTGTGATCAGTCCCTTATCATGAGTATTGTATGCAAAAATTTTCTCCTAATCAGTGGGTTGTCTCTTTGTTTTGGTTAATGTCTCTCTTGCTGTACAGAAGCTTTTTAACTTGATGCAGTCTCCCTTTTTAGTCAGCAGGGCTTTTTCTCTTTTCCATCACTATCTTTGCTTTGGATGGTACATTCTTAAACATGTTACTGAGGTGTATGCCATGTAGTGTTTCACCTACGTTTTCTTCTATAATTTTATGGCTCCAGATCTTAAGTCTAGTTCTTTGATCCATTTTGAGTTGATTTTTGTGTATGGTGTGAGGTAGAATCTAGCTTCATTCTTTAGCTTGTGGTAGCCGAGTTTTCCCAGCATCATTTATTGAACAGACTTTCTTTGTTCCATTGCAAATTCTTTGCATCTTTGTCAAAGATTGATTGTAAGTCTGTGGGTTTATTTTTGGGTTTTCTGTTTGATTCCATTGGTCTATGTGTGTGTGTTTGTTCTAATACCATGCAGTTTTGATTATTATGGCTTTGTTATATAGTTTGAGGTATGGGCGTGTGGATACCGCCATTTCCCTTTTTAGTCAGCAGAGCTTTGGCTGTTCAGTTTTTTGTGTGGCACCATGTGAATCTCGCCAGTCTTTATATCTTTGAAGAATGTATGTCCTTGAGGTTTTAATTGAAATAGCATTGAACCTGTAAATTGCTTTTGGTAGGATGGCCATTTTGACAATGCTAATTTCTTCAGTCCATGATCAGGGGATGTCTTCCCATTTCTTTGTGTCTTCTATTTCTTTTACAGCCCTTAATCTCTTTTGTTAGATTTATTCCCAAGTATTTGACTTTTTTGTTACTTCCTTTTGTTAGGCTTATTCTCAAGTATTTGACTTTTTTGTTTCTGTTATAAAAGGAATAGTTTTCTTGATACCATCTTCAGATTTATTGTTTGTATATGGGAAAGCTACTGATTTTTGTGTGTTGATTTTGTGTCTTGCTACTTAACTGATTATTTTGATTAGTTCTTCTGTGGAGTTATTGGGGTTTTCTCTCTCTCTCTCTCTCTATATATATATATTATATCCTCTGCAAACAGGGATAGTTTTACTCCTTTCCCTATTTGGATTCCTAGTATATCTTTCTTTTGTCTAATTGCTCTGCCTAGGAATTCCAGTATTATATTGAAAAGCAGTGGTGAGAATGGGCATCCTTGTCTTGTTCCAGATCTTAGGGGCAAGGCTTTCAGTTTTTCACAACTGAGAATAATATTGGCTATGGGATTGTCGTATATGGCTTTTCTTATGTTAAGGTGTGCCCCTTCTATCTCCTCAAGGTGCTTTGGAGCACCCTGCTGGGCTCTGGGCAGGAGAAGGAAAGGGGCCTGCCGTCACCTGCTCTGATGCCCGCTTCCAAGAGGGAAAACGTCCTTTTCCTTCTGCCTCTTCCATCCTGTTGCCAGGCCCAGCTATGGCCCCTAGTCCTGCATCCTAGGCAGGAACCCTTCCCTCTCAGATCCTTGGAGAACACCTAGCCGCCAGCAGTGTTAGTATACAGAGAATGACCTGTCACCTCCACACAGTGCCTGGTGCTATTGACCCAACTCCCTGCTTACCAGGGACAGCAAGTGTAGGAGCACTGCCGAGCTGTCTCTCACTGGGAGTATACAGTGCACCCAACAGGAGCAAACGACAAGTTGATCCTAGGGGCCCCAACAACCACCTCAGGGAGCTGAGGGACCACAGTCCCAGGTTTACCTTGTGCTGGTGGGAAGGGAAGGCGTGGAGGTTGGTTTTCTTCCCCACCCCGGCCTGACCCATTTCACTGAGCCTGGCTCCTCCTTCCTTGCCAGAACTGTGGGTGTTACTCTGCTCAGATGTGAGGTGGCTCAGGGAAGGGGGGTGGGAGTGGGGGGAACCTCCTTGGCCCCGTGGGGTCCAACCTCATTCTAGAACGCCAGCTCCTAGAGTAGTTTTGTGCTGACCTCACCAGACACAGGGCAAAGGTCATGAGAGATTGGGCAAAGCCACTGGGATATCCCTGTTTCCTCAGAATCTCAGCGAAGGACCTGAAGAACATGCTGTCCCAGGTCAACTACCGGGTCCCCAACATGCGCTTCCTCCGAGAGCGGCTGACGGTAGGGGCCGTGTGCAGGCTGGGTAGGGGAGGCCAGGAGCCCCTGGCCAGTGGGCTGACCAGCCTTCTGCCCTCCACCATGCAGGACCTGGAGCAGCGTAGCAGTGACATCACCTACGGGCAGTTTGCCCAGCTGTACCGAACCCTCATGTACAGCGCCCAGAAGACGGTGCATGAGCCACTGCCCTCCCGCGCCCTTGCCCTGCTCTCCCACCCGGCCCTAGCCCTGCTTGCCTCGGTCTTGCTGCCGCTTGGGGGCTTTTGGGTGCCATCTTTCCAGCTCTTCTCTTTTTGAGGCCTTACCCCACCTGTCGCCCCAGCTTCTTCCTGAGAGCCCCCTTCCCACATGGCCTCTCCTTGGGGCTTTCGCTCTGACCGGATTCTGTCTCCCGCAGATGGACCTCCCCTTCTTGGAAGCCAGTATCCTGAGGTTTGGTTTGAAGTGGGAGGTGGGGTTTTCCTTGAGGGGCTCCCGTTGTCTCTTCCCCTGGGTGATTCCCAGTGCAGCTGGACCGTTCTGGGCCGGTGTGCTAGTGGGGACCCGGGCTGTGCCTTCCGAGCCCCCATGTTGTCCGCAGACCACACCGGGTGTTTCCCTTCTCTCCTGCAGGGCAGGGGAGCGACCTGAGCTTTGTCGAGTGTCCCTTCCTGAGTTCCAGCAGTTTCTCCTCGAGTACCAGGGGGTAAGGCTGGGTGGGAGCCAGGACAGATTGCCCGATGGGGGGGCTGGACTTGTTGCTGGCGCGTCTCACATGCCGCCGCCATCCCGCCTCCTGCTAGGAGCTGTGGGCTGTTGACCAACTCCAGGTACAGGAGTTCATGCTCAGCTTCTTGCGAGACCCCTTGCGAGAGATCGAAGAACCCTACTTCTCCCTGGATGAGGTGAGCCCTGCCTCTTCCCCTTCTGTCAGAGAAAGTGGCTGACTGGGACTGAGCAAAACCCACGCTCCCTCCCCCCACCCTGTGCCCTGGAACCGAGTGGCCCTCCATTGTTATCCTGTCAACTTTGCCTGCTCCGACTGAGACCACAGACCCGTCTTCCCTCTGCCCCTGCCCCTGGAGCTCACCTCTCCCCTTCTTCATTTGTTCCTGGATAGTTTGTCACCTTCCTGTTCTCTAAAGAGAACAGCGTGTGGAATTCGCAGTTGGATGCAGTGTGCCCCGGGACCATGGACAACCCCCTGTCCCACTACTGGATCTCCTCCTCCCACAACACGTAAGTGGCCCCTCGTCCCCACCCGGCCTGGCCTTGGCGGGAGGGGTGTGCCTGACCGCTCCCCTCTCCCTCTCCAGGTACCTGACCGGGGACCAGTTCTCCAGCGAGTCTTCCCTGGAGGCTTATGCTCGCTGCCTGCGCATGGGCTGTCGCTGCATTGAGTGTGCGTGGGGTCCAGGGCTGGGGGGGAGGGGCAGCCTTCTTGCTTGACCGCGGTCCTGTTGCTCCCCAGTGGACTGCTGGGATGGCCCCGATGGGATGCCAGTCATTTACCATGGCCACACCCTCACCACCAAGATCAAATTCTCAGACGTGCTGCACACCATCAAGGAGCATGCCTTCGTGGCTTCAGAGTGAGTAGGCCTGACTCGAGCCCCCCGTCCCAGGACCGCAGGTCCCTGCCTTTTCACTTTCAGCCTCCTCTTGGCCTCTCCTCCTCTCCTGCTGCCTGAGTCCTGGCTCCCCGAGTTGCCCACCGTCTTCATGAACACCTTCGTGGCCCCATGGGTGGGCTCTCCCCACCCCTCACAGACACTTCAGGCCATAGTTCCACCAGCTCTTTTCCCTTTGCCGCCCAAAGAATTGCCAGCCTTGCCTGCCCCTGCTGCTGTTCTCTTCACTCCTTTTCTGTGGTCACTAGGCTCTTCCCACCTCCCTGAAGGGATGCGGGTGCCCGTGGCCCTTTCCCTCTCCTGCCCTCTGGCTAGGGCACCATCATAATTGGACCAACTGTGGTGGTGTCCATCTGCAGCAGACTCGGCCCTTATTGTCACTGCATCCTCCCAGGACCCAGGACTGACCTCTTTTTGCATGGGCACCCATGTAGACAGGCCCTCGATCCTAACACCTCACTCTTGGCAGAGCTGTTTGGAATAGGCCGTGACCCTGCAAAAGTGCAGGGTCTGTGTCACTGCAGTGGCTCCTACCTGCAGGTACCCAGTCATCCTGTCCATCGAGGACCACTGCAGCATTGCCCAGCAGAGGAACATGGCCCAGTACTTCAAGAAGGTGCTCGGGGACACGCTCCTCACCAAGCCTGTGGACATCGCGGCTGACGGGCTTCCCTCACCTAACCAGCTCAAGAGGAAGATCCTGATCAAGGTGGGGTGGAGGCCTTGGGGATCCCTTCCCAGCACCTCTCCCACCACGGCTCCAGCTCTCACTCTAGGGCTGGTGAAGAGGTCAGAGCCTGGGGGCTGGGCCGGCTGGGCCATGTCCTTGCCGCTCTCCCACAGCACAAGAAGCTGGCAGAGGGCAGTGCCTACGAGGAGGTGCCTACGTCCGTGATGTACTCTGAGAATGACATCAGCAACTCCATCAAGAACGGCATCCTTTACCTAGAGGACCCCGTCAACCACGTGAGGGCAGGGCCAGGTAGGGCCGGACCGGGTGCTGCGGGCCGTGGGCCACAAAGCCTGCCTTTGGTCTCTTCCAGGAGTGGTATCCCCACTACTTCGTTCTGACCAGCAGCAAAATCTACTACTCTGAGGAGACCAGCAGTGACCAGGGCAATGAGGACGAGGAGGAACCCAAAGAGGTGAGAGGCCAGCCCGACACTGGGGCCGGACTGGGGTCGCGGTCGCCGGGCATCTTTGCTGTCGCCCTTCCCCTCGCAGGCCAGTGGCAGCACAGAGCTGCACTCCAACGAGAAGTGGTTCCATGGGAAGCTGGGGGCCGGGCGGGACGGGCGGCACATCGCCGAGCGCCTGCTCACCGAGTACTGCATCGAGACGGGGGCCCCCGACGGCTCCTTCCTCGTGCGCGAGAGCGAGACCTTCGTGGGCGACTACACCCTCTCCTTCTGGTAACGCAGCCCAGCCTCGGCCTGCGCTGTCTGCTGCCCCGGCGTGCACACCACCCGCGTCCCACACGCACGGGCACACGCCTCGCGCTCGGCTCGGCACCCTGCGGCCTTCCCGCAGGGCCGGCCCGGGCGCCCCAGTGGGCTCCCTCCCACTTGGAGAGTTGGTGCCTCCTTTGGGGTGGAGCTGGTAGCTCAGGGATCGGGCCTGCTCCCCACTGTCCCCCTTCGCTCCTAGGAGGAACGGAAAAGTCCAGCACTGCCGGATCCACTCCCGACAGGATGCAGGAACCCCCAAGTTCTTCTTGACAGACAACCTTGTCTTTGACTCGCTCTATGACCTCATCACGCACTACCAGCAGGTGCCCCTGCGCTGCAACGAGTTTGAGATGCGCCTCTCAGAGCCCGTGCCACAGACCAATGCCCACGAGAGCAAAGAGTGAGGGCGCGGGCCAGGGGCGGGGCGGGCGTGGGCCGGGCGCGAGGGGCCTGACCCGGGGCTGTCCCTAGGTGGTACCATGCGAGCCTGACCCGAACGCAGGCTGAGCACATGCTGATGCGCGTCCCTCGCGATGGGGCCTTCCTGGTGCGCAAGCGGAGTGACCCCAACTCGTATGCCATCTCCTTCCGGTGAGGGGTGTGGCCCTGAGGTGCTGTTGAGGGCGGGCGTGCGGGCTCTGCCTCTCTCTGGGCTCTGCCCTGTGTGACTTCTGTCTTTGTCAAGGGCTGAGGGCAAGATCAAGCATTGCCGTGTCCAGCAGGAAGGCCAGACAGTGATGCTGGGCAACTCGGAATTTGATAGCCTGGTCGACCTCATCAGCTACTACGAGAAGCACCCCCTGTACCGCAAGATGAAGCTGCGCTACCCCATCAATGAGGAGGCGCTGGAGAAGATTGGCACCGCTGTAAGTGCATCATGGTCGGCGGGCATTGGCAGGCCGGGGAGGCAGTAGAGAAGCGCGGCCCCTAGAGAGGGACCTGGGTATACAGTTCTGGTGGGCACTTAGGCCAGCAGGGAGGCACGGTGGGGGTGCCACGAAGGTACCCCGATAGAACAGCCCTGTCTGCAAGGACAGGTGCAGCGCATGGGGGGAGAGGGCCCCGCGCTGAGGTGGTGGGTGAGCACACCCTGGGGCTCACGTCAGGGCGGGTAGGCTGGAGCCTGATCCAGCCAAGCTTGGCTTGGGGAGCCGAGCCCAAGCGGGGGAGACTAGAGAGGAGGGGGGGCTCGAGCCCTGCACTGGGGTCACGACTTGGAAAGGGGGACACGGGGGGCGGGATCTGGTTGAGGCTCAGCACTGGACATGCTGTGGGACGAGGGACCCCACCTGGATGAACCAGCCTCTGATAACTCAGGGACAGGAATTTTAGAATCACGGGGTGGACCTCAGAGAGGACAGGTCCCTGAGGCCATCCCTTGAGGCCGTGGATGAAGGGGCCAGACGCAGTGGCCTGCTGAGGAAGCCTGTGTGGTGCACAGCGTGACAACACTTCCTCTCCGGGTGAGAGCACGTCTCCTTTCCCCTTTCCAGGAGCCAGACTACGGGGCCCTGTACGAGGGACGCAATCCTGGTTTCTATGTGGAGGCAAACCCCATGCCAACTTTCAAGGTACAGGAAGCTGGGGGTGCCCCGCTGCTTGGGGTTTGCCTGACTGCGGTATTTGTGGTTTCTGAGGCCCAAGTGAAATGTGACAGCTGTATGGTTAGTGTGAGACCACAGCCTCCATCCCAGGCATCGCACTGACCTTCCACGTCGCTCCCCTGGGTAAACCCTCATCTCCTTGGGCTAAAGCAGGGCACAGCCACACACTGATCAGAAAAGTGTGTTCTTGGGCACTTACTCCCTTGCCGCATAGAGAGCTTAAGGGGAAAGGAGTGTGGGGTTGTGTGCCCAGCAGTCCAGTGTCCTCGTCCACTGTCCAGAAAAGGGGTGATGGGGCCCTGCCATACCCACAGGCTTCTCGGTCCCCAGGAGGCACTCGGGACACCAGCAGACATTCCTAGGCCTCTCCAGTTCTGATCCTCAGTGGACAGATTCTCCCTGTGGCCCAGGGTGACGGCTTTCGAGGCAGAGACAGTCTCTGACCCTGGTCCTGTCTATCCTGGGGCCGTGGCTGAGGCCTGTCCCAGGGGCTCTTGCTGGCAGTAGCACCTGCACCAGCTCCCAGCACATGTGGCCACCCCGAGGCCCCGGTCAGGAGTGTCTGGGAGACATTGTCTGCGGTAACCGGTCTTCTTGCCCTGGCAGTGTGCGGTCAAAGCCCTCTTCGACTACAAGGCCCAGAGAGAGGACGAGCTGACCTTCACCAAGAGCGCCATCATCCAGAACGTGGAGAAGCAAGAGGGAGGCTGGTAGGCCGGTCCCGGAGAGCCTGTGGTTAGTGGGCAGGGCCAGCCCCAGAGGGTGTGGGCCCACGTGTGACCGGCAGTCCCCGCCGTGGCCTGGCGCGGAGCCCCTGACTAAGGGCACCTTCCTCGGAAACCTGGGGGTGCTCGGGGTCAGCAAGTACTGTGGCTCCCACAGGTGGCGGGGGGACTATGGTGGGAAGAAGCAGCTGTGGTTCCCGTCCAACTATGTGGAAGAGATGGTCAGCCCGGCAGCCCTGGAGCCCGAGAGGGAGGTAAGCCGGGGCCCCGTGGGCTGGTGGGGTTCTCGCCCTGGTTCTCCTCCTGTCTGCGCCTGTCCTGTGCCCGCCGTGTCCACGGGCTCCAGTGGACGTGTGCCGTTGGTTGAGCCGCACGGACACGTACGGCGGTTTCTCCCTCGCGCCCGGCACGCACGGGCCGCTCTGAGCAGCCCCCGGCTTTGTCTCCCACAGCACTTGGATGAGAACAGCCCCCTGGGGGACTTGCTGCGGGGAGTCCTGGACGTTCCGGCTTGCCAGATTGGTGAGCCCCGCCCCCTCGCTCACCCAGCGTTCCTCAGGGTCAGGGCCTCTGGTAGCCTCCAGGTTCCCTTGAGGAAGCCCCAAGTGCCACCCTCACTCTGAGTCTTTCCCTGTTCTTGGACATCTCAGGCTCGGCTCCCTCCTTACCCCCAACTTTGACCTCTTGCTGCTTCCCAGGCCTGGCATCGTGGATGATGCTTGCTGACATCAGCGTCCTAGTGGGTTGGGGCACAGAGTGTGAGCGGTGGGGCAGCTGCCCCACTGCTCCCCGCCTGGCTGAGTCTGGCTGTCCTCAGCTGGAAGGTGGGCCCGGCCCAGCAGCACCATCTCCCTTACGGGTATGGGGGGGGTGGTGATGAGAGGGTCATGTGAGCTAGAGCCTGCATCGCAGAGCAGGGGACCCAGAAATGTCTTCCCTCTCGCAGCCATCCGTCCCGAGGGCAAGAACAGCCGGCTCTTCGTCTTCTCCATCAGCATGGCGTCGGTGGCACGCTGGTCCCTGGATGTCGCTGCCGACTCACAGGAGGAGCTGCAGGACTGGGTGAAAAAGATCCGAGAAGTGGCCCAGACTGCGGATGCCAGGGTGAGGACCGGCCGGACCTGGGGACGTGCTGGGGTGGGCCAGCCTGTCCGGGGGTCACGCCTCCAGCTCCCGCTGATAGGCAGGGATCAGGGGTGACGGGCCGACGGTGATGCGTGTGCCTGTGTATGCCGAGCTGTGCGGGCCGGGCCGGCCACGTGGCCAGCTTTGGCCGGATGAGCTGTATGGTGAGGTAGGAGCAGCTGGGACGGGGAGCAGAGGTAAAGACACTGGACTCGGTAGCAGCACGTGACACCACCAAGCTTGGGGTCACTGTCGCAGCCAGGGCCAAGGGCAGTGGGAAGCACCCAGTGGTGCGGGCATGCTTGCTGGGGCTGGAGCCGACTCCAGCAGCTGGCGGGAGGACGGCGCCTGTGGCCCCTGAGCGTGCAGGACGCAGTCAGCTGCAGGGCGTTCCTCTCGAGGACGCTCTTTCCTCCTGGCCATCGAGAGAGGGAGGGGCTACCTGGGGAGGGCAGCGGCAGGCCACGCGGAGCAGCAGAGGAGGATTTGCCAGGGATGTGGCCTTGGGTTAGGCGGTAAAGGGAGGAAAGTGCGTACCAGAGCGCGGGGAGAAAGCCGGCCTCCAGGGGTGGGCCTTCTGAACTGAGGCTTGGCGAGCAGGTGGCGGTGTGGGACTGAGGGGAGGGGAGGCGGTGAGGCTTCTGGGCAGGGTGGTGCTGAGACCACAGAAGACCAGGGCAGGGGCCTGAGAAAAGAAGGCTCGTGCTCCTTTTCCAGCAGAACCTGGGGCCCAGAGCACCCGCATGGTGGATGTGCTCTGGCCAGGGGCTACCCAGTCTTGTCTGTGCCGCCAGCTCACGGAGGGGAAGATGATGGAGCGCAGGAAGAAGATCGCGCTGGAGCTGTCCGAGCTTGTCGTCTACTGCCGGCCTGTGCCCTTCGACGAAGAGAGTAAGGGCGGGCCCGCGGGGGCCCTACGTGAGGCCAGGGGGTGCGGCGGCGAGAGGAGTTGAGTCCCTTTATCCCAGGGTTACTAGGCCCAGTCGCCAGTACTCTGGGGGTGAGTCTGAGTGTTCTCCCGGTTTGGCCCAGAGATTGGCACGGAACGAGCCTGCTACCGGGACATGTCGTCCTTCCCGGAAACCAAGGCCGAGAAGTATGTGAACAAGGCCAAAGGCAAGAAGTTCCTGCAGTACAACCGACTGCAGCTCTCCCGCATCTACCCCAAGGGCCAGCGGCTGGACTCCTCCAATTATGACCCCCTGCCCATGTGGATCTGTGGCAGTCAGCTCGTGGCACTCAACTTCCAGACCCCAGGTGAGGCGCGCCCTTTGGAAGGGGGTGAGGCAGCTCGCTGAGGGGCAGATGGGCTGGAGTCTGTCGTCTGGTCCTTCCAGACAAGCCTATGCAGATGAACCAGGCCCTCTTCATGGCCGGCGGCCACTGTGGCTATGTGCTGCAGCCCAGCACCATGCGTGAGGAGGCCTTCGACCCCTTCGACAAGAGCAGCCTCCGTGGGCTGGAGCCCAGTGCCATCTGCATCGAGGTGGGTGGTGCTCCTCTGGGCTTCCTGGCGGGGGGGTGGGTGTTCGGTCTTACTGAGACCTCCATCGTGGGTGACACTGAACTCCCAAGTGGCACAGGCCAAGCGGCTGGACCAAATGTGGCTGGGCTTTGGCATGAAGGAGTCCGGCTGTCCAGTAGGGCCAAGCTGTGGGCAGCCCCTGCCTGGGAGAAGAGCAGGGAGCTAGTGCCAGTGGTGAGCAGCCAGGGACCTGTGAAGCACTTACAGAGTGGGCTTGCGTGAGACCCACCTGCCCCCTCGCTAGCAGTCTGTTAAAACAATATGAAGCAAGCTGCAAAACTCCGTGTAATACGGAGATTGGTGTCTAAATCTAACAGCTGCACTTAGAACCCTGGCTGTGTCCTTGGGGGCCCAGCAGAGGGCGCACCGCCTCCACGGTGCAGCAGGAAGGACAGCCCAGGGCCCATCTTTGTCCACCTCACAGGTGCTGGGAGCGCGGCATCTGCCCAAGAATGGCCGAGGAATCGTGTGTCCTTTTGTGGAGATTGAGGTGGCTGGAGCTGAGTATGACAGCACGAAGCAGAAGACAGAGACTGTGGGTGAGTCCGTCCCCCCTCACCATCTCCAGTGAGGTCTTGAGAGCCCCTCTTCACAGTGACCTCATCCGGTCTGGTGGGAGCTTGAGGTCTCTGGCGCTTGTTTTTACAGTGGACAACGGACTGAATCCTCTGTGGCAGGCCAAGGCCTTCCACTTCCAGATCAGTAACCCTGAGTTCGCCTTCCTGCGCTTTGTGGTGTATGAGGAAGACATGTTCAGTGACCAGAACTTCCTGGCACAGGCTACCTTCCCACTGAAAGGCCTGAAGACAGGTGGGCCCCTTCTTGAAAATGGAGCCCCCCCCCCCATGACCGGGCCTGGGGGGCAGGGGTTCCTGGCTTGGCTCCCTTCTGGACTGAGGGCCAGGCCTTCCTCCTCCCAGGATACAGAGCGGTGCCTCTGAAGAACAACTACAGCGAGGACCTGGAGTTGGCCTCCCTGCTGGTCAAGATCGAGATCTTCCCTGCCAAGGTAACTGGTGGGGGAGGGGGCCGGCCAGGGCCTCCCCACCGCCAGGGCGGTGCTGACGGCTCCGCACTCGCCTTGGCGCGGCAGGAGAACAGCGACCTCAGCCCCTTTGGCGCGTCCCTGTCCCTGCGGGAGCGGGGCGCCGAGGCCTCGGCTCAGCTGTTCCATGGCCGGGCCCGGGAAGGCTCCTTTGAAGCCCGCTACCAGCAGCCTTTCGAGGACTTTCACATCTCGCAGGAGCATCTCACAGACCATTTTGACGGTCGGGAACGAAGGTGAGGAGCTGGAGCTTGGGCACGTGCTCTGCAGCTGCGGGGGGGGGGGGACCGGGCGGCCGCGGCTCGGGCCGCCCACTGGCTGCAAGGCCCTGCTGCGGTCAGCACCCTCTCTCCTTTCCTCCAGGGCCCCACGACGGACTCGGGTCAGTGGAGACAGCCGCCTCTAGTGGCGCCGGCCTGCCGAGAGCAGCGGTGCTGCGCGCCTCCCGGAACGCCGCGGCCGGGCTCCCGCGCCGGCGGCCTGCCCGCGGCCTCCTGTCTCGCCGCCAGGAGCCTGACTCCAGCAGCGAACGCTAGATGAGAACCAAGCCATGAACGAGATGTATTACTGTTTTGGGCCTCCACGCCCAACTCTGGGTGAAGGCAAAAACCGTACCGTGTCTCGCACTAAGCACACACATCTGGCCTGACTGCTGGAGCTGGACCTTCCGTCCCGGGGGGCCGGGACCATGGCCAAAACCCCTTGGAGCGAGGCTGCCTCTGCTGGAGGTGCAAGAAGCCCTGAGGAGCCACTGGTGTTCCTGAGTGGAGGGAGCAGCGGCAGCCTCTCGGGGCCGGGGAAACAAAGTTTACATTGTCCTGTAGCTTTAAAACCACAGCCAGGCACAGCGGGGAGTGTAGAAGCCCCCAGGTCTGGCCCTGGGGCCAGGCCAGAGGAGCTTAAGGCCTCTACCTGCCCCGGGAGGAGGACACAGCACAAGGGCATGTTGCCCACGGCTGGGGGCGGGGCGTGCCCCCCACCCCGAGCGATCACGGGATCATGGCAAAACAGCAGTGTTACTTTTCTTCTCAATGGTATTGTAACTTAAGTTATTCACTCCCGCTCCTTACTTACCCTCGAAGGGGACCTGGAGCAGAGCCTTGAGACGAGAGCAGCAGACAGGCTGCCTGCCGTGTTGGGACAGGTTCAGTTTGGGATGTCACGGCGCTGTCAGGAGTGGGGTAGGGGTGGGGAGACGGGAAACAGCGAAGCCTATTCTGGACAGTTCTTCTAAGGCAGCTCAACATGCTTTCCCTGAGGATAAAGGGGCCGAGGAGCTGCCTGCCCGGGGGGAGGGGCGGAGCAGGCAGGTGCTGGATGAAGCCGCCACACTCTGCCTCGCTCCCGGGAAGGCCACAGTGGGGGTTTGGGGGCAACCCCCACCGCTGAGGGCAGAGGCCTCCACAGCGTAGCCTGCCCACGTTCAGCACACGTGAACTCCCGCCCGGGTTTGGGCTCAGGGTTGGCCATTTGCTAGTTCTGCTGCCCTCTGAAGATCTGACTGCCAAATAAATCATCCTCATGTCCTTTTTCCTTGAATTTGTGTGCTCTTCTCGGGGCTCAGGAGGCCGTTGCTTAGAACGAAGGCCAGGTGCCCAGTGGCTACTCTACAGTAGAAGCAAGCTGAGTGTCTGCTAACCTCGAGGTCAGGCAGCTGTGAGGCCACCCTTTCCTTCCCAGCCCCTCTGCTGTCGGGCTGGTGACGGGCAGCCGCCTGAAAACAAGCCCAGGTTTCGGGCCAGCCAGCTTTGCTTGTGACCCCCGCAACCGCGCCCCCCCCCCCACCTCCATGGAATTTCTCAAATCAATGTCGCATCAAGCGTGAATTGTTGGTTCACACTTCAGTTACCTCTATCTTGCATCCAAAATCTCTTGTGCTCAGAAGATGGCTGGAAGCTGCTTCCCTTCCTGTGCCTCTTTCTCAGTACTGTGCGAGGGAGGGTGAGAACCACCACCTCATGGAGGATGGAGGGAATGGGTACCTGCTTGGGGGGGGGGGTGTGGGGATCAAGCGTAAAAAGCCGGCCCGAGGAGCCTGAGAGGATGCTGCTAAGTGGGACCTGGGATCAGCAGGCAGCGACAGTCACTGGTACACCCTGGCAGAAGGTGCAGGGTCCACCCAGCGCGGTGGTGGTTTTGCAGAGACCAGCTCTGGTTTAAGACAAGCCTAGGTGGCTTTGGAGAAGTAGCTTTAGCGCGTCCTTTTCCTAGATTCAGACTTGGGCCAGACCTGATGCACTGTGGGCCCTTCATCACCAGCCACTTGGAGACCTAGGGTCACAGTTTAAAATGCTTGCTGTCTTCCACCGACAGGCATAAGGTGCCAACACGTGCATGCTTGTGGCCCCGTGGCTTGCTTCCCAGGAGGGTGTCTCAACTGCGGGAGAGGTGTTAGGTGGGAATTTACCTGGACCTTGATGTTTTCCCACTTCAGGTTCTTGTATTCAGGAGAGTGCGCTTCTCCGTCAGTGAGGAAGAGCTTCCGTTTGGAGCTGGGTCTTCCCATGACATCCTGGCTATCGGTCACGTAATCAGTACATACCTCTGTGTACTGTGTTCTTCTGGAAACTCCCCCAAGTTGGTACAGCTGTCTCCCTAAAGCAGCATTGTCGTCTGAGGCATGCCTGTCTCTCGGATCCTCCTTCCTAGTAGAAAACGTGTCAACCTCAGTCAGGCAAATTCATGGCTCAGTTTCAATTCAGATTGCTCTAGACAAACCTGGTGCTTGCTGCCTTGCAGCCCAGTAAGGTTTGTGGAAGGTGTGAGGGGCTGGCTTGGGAATCAGTTATCTGGCCTAGGGTGGGTGGGTGGCTGATGCCCTGCTGTGGGCCATGTCTCTCTAGATGGGCCAGTACCACCCCCTACCCAGCACCCCCGGGCTTACACGGCACTCCTGGGGTGCTTCTGAAAAATCCCAGGTACTTGGGTGCCTGGCACAGTATTTTCCAAATGCTCCCAGTTGGCTTCCGGTTCCATACCAGCTTGGTCTAGCTTCCGGTGTCCTCACCAGATGCTTGATGCCTCCGAGTTTGGCCCAGTCCGACTTTGTCCCTGCAGCATAATTTCCAAGACATCACTCTTTTCACATAAAGGCCGCTACACTGGGCCCAGCAGCGTGGGAGATGAGGGAGGTGGAGCTTTGCTTAGTGGGCCCAAGGAGACGGGCCCCTAATCCGAGCTTAAGGTCTGTCTGGCCTATAGGATAAACCAGCAGATGTACTTTTAGTTTCTTTTCGGTCTCCCCCACGGAATAAAGCCAGCAAATGTGAAATGCAGTTATTACACATTTTTATTTAAGAACAATCGAAAGATTGGAAGTACCATTTCCGCCCATTCCAAATAGTACAAGCAGTTTGTCCCTGCCCCCCTCCCTCATCCACATCCACAGATAAAAAAAATCTAAGAAATGTGCAATTTGCATCTTAGAAATAGCAGCATCCCCACAGGGGACCTTGTGAGGACTGGGGACTCGGCCCCAGAGAGCAGCACGCTCCCCTGCCTAGGGAGCCCCGCTCCAAAGGTGAGTCCCATCTTTCTGTTAAACACCTTTTCCCAGGCAAAGGATTTGTCACCCAGGCTGAGAGGCCAAAGTGCCCCTTGCACAGGCTGGGAACTAATACTTTGCCTCTGGACAGACAAGAGGGCACCTGCCTCTTAGCACCAAGATGATCACTTTCCCGTCCTCTCTGGAAGTGCACCAAAAGCAAACCGCTACCAGTTCCTCCCCACCGCCCCCCTCGGCCGCCCCCTGGGCCCTCGGAAACAGCCTGTGCTGGAGACCAGCGTGTGAGCGGGTGGTGGAAACCAGGGGTCAGGATCACGTCAGGAAGGCGTCCTGCAGGCCTTTGGCAACCTGCCCCACTGGCACAAAGGCTGCGCTCAGTTGACTCAATGAACAATGGCCGGCAGGGGTGAGGGGAGGCTGGTGTTTTTTCTGTTTTTAATAACAATTACCGCACCGCCTGGCCCTGACCCTGACACAGCTCGAGAGTCGCTGCCCAGAGGCGCCGGGGACTCTGCTGTGCAGGGCGGCCCATCTCCCCTGGCGCCAGAGGCCTGACTCCCGGCCAGGCCCTGCTGAGGGTGGCGTGTGTGCTCCCTCAGCTTCAGTCCCCCGGCACCCTGACACCCACTTTTCGAACAAATGGCGAGAGAGAGACCACCGTCCAGACAAGGACCAGCGGCCGGAGGCCGTGTGGCTCTTCCCATTCAAGTGCAATGTTTCTGAAGACCGATCAAGCACCCCTGACCTCCTGTACTCTGAGGCTGAGTAGCCTTTACTGCCAAGACTCGCACTTCTGAATCACCCACTTGGGCGACAGAGCAGGAGTTGCACCGCATCAGCCGAGAGCCGCCCAGGATGCCCACGGCAGCCTGCACATTGCACGCAGCGGGGGCCGTCTCGAGCAGGGGCGCTGATGGCAGGTGGCCACTCGGGCCCCTCGGGCGTCCCGGCTGCCCCCTGCCCCGACCCCGGGTGCACCGCAGGGAAGACTCAGCCGCCAGCAGCGGAGGCCACGGGCCCCACCAGGCTGCCCTCTGCGCTGGCCGCCCCACCCCTCCGTGCGGACAGCGGCACAGGCCAGGCTCGGAGGCACCACGGAAGCCTCAGGGCTGGAGACAAAGCAGCGAAGCCCCGCGGCCCCGCACGTGAAGCCTGGGTTACCAGCAGTCAAGGAGGCGTGTTTTGCCCCGCCCCGTCAGTGTGGGCGTCGGGCCTGCCATGTGCATCCGCGACTTCGGGTCTCTGCCCTTGCTCTGGACTGAAGGGCAGCTAGGATGGCTGGTTCCTGCGGGATCCACGCTGCCCCGTCTCCAGGCTGAGGCAGGACCAGGGCCTCACTCAAATGAGAGACCCGGTTTGTGGGCAGATGGGGCTCTCCCCGGCTGCCCCGGGACCCATGGCTCCGTGTGCTTTCAGCTCTGATGCTGGGCCAACTCAGAGTCCGGCTAACACTGGCCCCGCCCCACCCCCGGCCACTCCCTTCCCAGCACTGGGAAGACGGACTCCAGCAGAAACCAATTTGGGCCGGGGCCTGCTGGTTCCATCTGGGACTTAGAGCTGGCCAGTGGAGCAAGCACCCGTGATCACCTCTTCATCCAGTCACTTGGCCAAATTCAAAGTCCATTACTTTGCTGAGAGGTCACTCACGGCCGCCTCTCCACCAGGGTGTGCAGCACAGGGCCGTTAAGGGCGGGCCCGAACAGCCTTGCGGGGACCTCAACTTCATGAAGCCCAGCTCTGGTGGGGCGGCTTTCTCAGGGGCTGGAGCTTTTCTGGAGGCAGATGCTCTCTAGGGTCTGGCCGGAAGGTGGGGAGAAAGGAAGTGACTCCAGGGACCCTTGGAGAGAGCTCCAGTCTGGAATGAGACAACAGAGTCCTGTCAGCTCCTCCCCCAGCAGCAGCTGGCTCTGGCAGAGAGCTGCTGTGCAGACATCACGTGTCTAGAGGCTATTCTCTAGCCAACAGCTGCGCCGTAACAAGTCGATGGCAAACATGAAAACTTAACACAAAAGTACACCTGCAAAAGGTGAGTCAAACAGATGAACTGCCCCAGGTGAATGCTCAGCAAGGAGTTTCGAAGCCCAAACTCCAGCTTTGCTCTTGAGGCTTTGCTTCTTGGCTGGCTTTTCTCTCCAGCAAGGTGCCTTTACCCTCAAGCCCAGGACTTTGGCCCAAGAAGAAGAAGCCAAGGTAGCGGGGGTGCAGGACCAGGCAGCTTGAGCAGGGAGCTGTGGGAGAAGACGCGTGCAGAAGGGTGTCCCGGCTCAGGGGCTGGTCACTGAACACCTCACTGAGTGCGGGGAAAAGCCCACAAAAGCCGCACGCCGGCCTGGAGAACACGCTGCTGGTGGGACATCGCGCAGGCCAGCTGCAACCTCTGCATGGAGGTCTGCGAGGCCACCACACCGCCGGTGCCCCTCCTGCTTCCGGAGAGCAGGCTGGGGGGCCCGGGTCAAGGTGCTCTGGTCCATCCCCTTGAACCGCCACTGGTCACCCGACCGAGGGAAGGAGCTCCCATCACACAATCACGACTGACCCCCAAAGCGCCACAAGCCGCCCGACTAGGGTGTTCTGTCAAGAGCCCGAGACGCCTCAACACACGAACCCTCCACCACATCAAAAGGCTCCTTACTAGCCAAGAATGACCACCACACGGGCAGAATACACCTTCCCTAAATCCAGGTTCCCCCATCAGAATGGTGATACGACTTCACTTATTAAAATCAGATCTACAACCTCATGTAAAAAATGAGCCAAACATGTACAAGACATAGCAACAAGAAACACAAATATTTTACTAACTGATGAACCCAAGTGCGTACAGAAAAGAGGGGAGAGGTTAGTCACCTTATAAAACAGGCTTTTTCTTCAGGAGGGACTAACCCCACCCCGCCTCTCAGCTCTGCAGCCCCGACTGCCTTCACCCCGCAGCGGCGTGTGAAACTACAGGGGTCTGCCGCCACCAGCCCACACGCCTGCACGGGGGCGCGGCCCTGATTTCCAGGCTGGTGAGCGGCTTCCGTGGTGGCGACTGTGTTGACGGCTTTGCACCCAGCCCCGGTGCCTGCCGCCACGTCCCTTTGGGCATTCAACAGAAACACCTCTCGCCCTCACTTTTGATCACTTATTCTTTGCAGCATGAGGCCCAAACCCCACTTCTTCTCCACGGTCCAAGTGCACAGGAGGGAGGGTCTGTCCGGTGTGCGAGGCTCCTTACCTGGGCATCCTGCCACTCGTGGCACGGCCCCGGCCGGTGGGCAGCTCTGCGGCTCGGCCACCTCAAAGATGAGCTGGTGCCGAGATCAGGCGGTTGTGTCCTGAATGAACTTGTCCACCACGTAATTTTTTTTTTTTTTTCTGTTTTGCTGTTTGGGTTGTAAATGAAATGTGAATACAAATAAAGCCACCAAGAAAATCTTCCCCCAAAGACACACCTCTTCGACCAGCGCACGAGAGGCTCTGGGGTTACGCTGGCGGGGTGGCGTCAGACACTGAGCGATGGCCTTGTGCTGGGTGCCCCAGCTGTGCCCGGGGCTATGGCACCCCCCAGTACCCACGTGCCCCTCAGTTCCTCAAGTGCGCATGTCCACTGTGCATTTCATGAGTAAAGTATCAAATGAGTATTTGTACTGAATATGTGTCTATATAAATTAATCTGCATGTGCATAAACATTAAAGGGGAAATTCCAGGTGTCTGTTCTCTGAAGGAAGGCGGTCACTCGCCACTCTTGGTAATTCCTGAAGTGGCCTTTGGCACTGAATAATATCACACCCAAAATGAAAAGGATACAAAAACAGGCTGCAAAACGTGCCGAGTACTCACAAGTCACCTGTTTGAGACAGATAAAGAGGTGGTCCCTGCCGGGACAGGGAGGGTAGGAGGAGACACTTTAGAAGAACAGTGGCTCAAAGGCTTTTAGTTTCCAAAAAAAATTTTCTTCCGGGCAGTAGGTGCTACCACCGTTCTTCGTCATCAGAGCCAGGCCGGCCAGGTGCCTGCCAGGTCCAGTTCCCTGGGTGGGACGGGGAAGAAGGGCAGTGCCTAACCCCTCACGGATGCCTCCCGCCCCCCAGCCCCCACCCAGGCCGCAGCGTGACCGTGAGCTCTCGGGCTCTGGAAGCAGCCTCTGTGAGCAAAGTGGCGGGGCTCCGCCCGGGCCTGCCCACTCTGCCTGCGGCCCTCAGAGCAGTCCCCGCCGGGAGCTGGGGGCGTCTCCCGTTAAGTTTAGGACAGCTTGGTGGGCCACCTCGCCAATGCTTCAAAGGCACCTCTTCCTGTGATTTTCTCAACAACGTGGATACAAGGTTTAGGACAGAGGTTTTGCTTCTAATATGGGGCTATAAACGTACGCTTTGAAATCATTCTCACAGACGCCTGCCTAGTGAGTGATGTCCAGCACCTCTGGGGCGGCAGGCCCGGGAGTGGGGCCAAGAGCCTCTGGCGTTCCTTCTGTGAAGGACTCCCACCTGCACCCTTCATGCCACAGACCACAGCTTTGATGATTCCAAAAAACCCAGAGTCCCACGTTCTCACTACTGGGCAAGCGTGTGCCCAAACGTGGCAGCTTCGCAGTGGCTGGAGAAAGGGCTCAGGACACTGCAGCCAACGTTCCAGGCTATCACACTTTACCTCAGCCCCCACCACGGTTGTTTTTCAACTTTTCTCAGTCTATACGTGTCCATATTTAAAAAAAAAAAAAAAAAGGGCAGATACATAGGTGGGTACATTAGACTTAACAGCAAGTGCTTCCTTAGTTCACCTGATAACTGAAAGGTCATGGTTCAAACGCGTATGGAAAAGCAGAATTGCTTCAACGACGAGAGGAGAGTAGCGATCGCCAGCGACCTGGCCAGCCTGCTCTGTGCCTCCTGGGTTCTGCACCGAGTGCCGCGGAAGGCAGAGCAAGCCTGGCGCGGCTTTGCTGGATACGACATGGCAGCAGCCTCTGCCAAGGCGATGCTCTCTTTGGGGGACGAAAGAGGGGTGCACGGGGCTCCCAGACACAGCTGAGGGCTCGGCACCTCCTGCCAGATGGCGCAAAGTGCGGGCCCGTGCGGCCCGGCCATCTCCAGAGAACAGACACAGGGCATTCCCAGAGATGATGGAAAGGACAATGCACTGCTTCCTAGCCAGTTTCTATGTAATAAAAGTGTTTGTAATCTGATGCTTTATTAAATGTGTATAGGCGGGTTTCTATGTTAAAAACTTGATTCTGCGTCTATGAATATGAAATCTGAACTACTGTTATCCACTGGAAGGCAAAGGAAAGGTCCTACGTTGTGGGAGGAAGAACTGAAGAGATCTCTGCCCTCCCAGCTTGCTGGGTGGGCACAGGCCGTAGGTGGCAGCGGCTCTGGGCTGTCTGGGCCCCGGAGGCTCTCGCGCGTGACCGGTGGCCGCACAGGCGCGGCAGGCGGCGGCAGAGTTGGGCTGGCCCCTTCCACGCGGCAGGTGGCATCTTGGACTGCCCAGGCCTTCACAGCGACCGGCTCAAATTCAGTCTGTTTCTGAGGAGAAAACGCGTCTGTCACGTCCAGTTCCGTTGCCACTCACACTGCCCGCAGAGCAACCTGGTCCCGGCCGTCCCTGAGTGGCGCTGCCACTGGCTGCGGGGACCTCTTAGTTCCACGAGCAGGACCCCGCCTGCCCCGCCCTCGCTCCGCCTGGGGGAACGTGGAAGAGGTTCTGTAGGTCGCAGCCTAGGTGCTGACTGGCAGGCCCGAGACTCTCCAAGCGCCACTGCCGAGCTCAGGGAGCTGCCGCATGTGCCAGCCGAGCCACAACTGTGGAGTCATAACCACGTCCCCACTGTCATCCACTAAATACTAGATCATAACGACTCTTCCATGCGAAGAGCTGCTGGCGGCATCTGAGACACAGCTAATTCTCCCCAAACCTATTAAACTTGAGGAGAGGAGCTGGAGTTAACTGACTCATCCCAGGTCACGGAGCTGCTGTGTGGGGAACAGAGCTTGCAGCCGTCAGGTCCTGCTGGACTACGTCCTGCTCCTCAGCCCCATCATTCCCCGCCCTGCCAGCCCAGCTCTCAGCCAGACCTCAGCACTGTTCATCTGAGGACAAGAGCGCTGAGCTAACTGGCTCGCTCTTCTCCAGTCTCGTCTTTCTCAATGCGTCCCCCAAACTCTGACCCTCCAGTGACCTTCCTATGAAACAAATGGCAAGAGACTCATCAAAAGTCCACGAACTAGAAGCAGCCACAGGGTGGAAGGAAAGTTCTGTTCGAAACTAATTTTCTACTTATACACGGAAAATAGGTGAACACGCTTGAATTCAGTGGGAAGAAGTACCCAAGGTAACCAAAGGTTTTCATTTCTTTAAACACCGCTCTCTAGTATCTCCTCCCATGGAGCTGCTTTGCCAGCTTCTCGTCATCAAATGGCTGAATAGCCTATGCTATCAGAGTACAGTTTAGTGAAATTATTTTAAGAAATAATCTGGTCTAAAAACCAAGAGAAATCAATTCGTTCTAGTCCCAGTACTCCATGCTGGTATGTGGGCACAGCCACAGCCAGAGGTGGGCACACTGCAAGAGGCCCTGTGCTGGACAAGGTGCCCACGCGTCCTCACAAGCAGCCCTGTGCAGCCTCGCCTGCTCTTGGAGGGCCCTCACTGGCTCCTGGGGACCTGGGGGAACACAAAGTCAAGTCTGGAAATACCGGGTCCCAGGACCACTTTCTAAGGGTCCGCACATCAGAGAATCTGAGACTCCAGACTTCTTCCGTCTCCACAGCCTCTTATGAAACTTGTCACTCCTGACCATCCCGGGGTGAGGACTCTCTGAGGAGATGAATACCTAAGGGTGGGAGGGAGGGAGGCTGGAAACTCAGGGATCAATACCCAGAAATAGAACTTACTTGTGGCTTCAAAGTTGTGTCTTCAATGAAACGATCACTAATTTTTCTTACAATATAATGCACCAGGGAAACTGAGGGACAAAACTTGGGTTTTCGATTCTACATACAGCTAGGAGGGAAGGTGATTTTCTATTTCTCCTGCATTAGGAGGAACTATGAAAGTGCAAAGCGGGTTTCTGTCGTTAAACCAAAGCACTTCCGGTGTGGGGCCGACTGAGGGCGCTTCCCTCGGGTTCACCAACCTGAGCTCATGTCTCCAAAGTCCTGCTGCTGTCACAACCAGCAGCTGCTGTGCTGCCTGACCCAGACGGCATTCTCACCTAGTCTCCTTGCCGAAAGCTGCAAGGAGAGCCTTGGGGTTTCACTACGTCTACTGGACGAAACGACACTGTCAGCCCTAATCACGTCGCGCTGCAGTGTCTTCTGCTGTGAAGTGCCCAGAGGCAGCCAGGTAGACTCATCCCGCTACCACCAGGCTGCCTTAAATTGAGCAGTAAACTCAGGGTCCAGCCCCCCCTCGGTGCCCCTTCCCAGACCCAGACGTGGCTCCCGTGAACTCCTTACCCAGCTCAAGTCCAGCCTGGGGACTCGGGGTGTCAAAGGGCTCTGAGGCGGCCTCAGGGGCTCCGGGCTCCCATGACTCACTGTTCTCAGACACTTCGGAATAGGTGTCACTCATCCCCGCTCTGTGAACTGCCGCCAGGTCGCCAGCGCCGGGGCCCTGGTCCTCACTGCCCGTGTCTGCCACGGCGCGTGTCTCCTCGCCCGTTTTCTCGGCACACCGCTGCTTGCCCTGCTGGGAGCTCGTCTGGGTCCTGTCGCAGGGCGCCTGCAGGTCGCCCTCGGGCAGCGTCTTGTGCGTCGCGTAGTAGTCCTGCAGCAGTTCCCGGCCGCCAGGGGCAGTGGCCAGCAGCCCCGGTGGGAAGCTGCCCCGCTTGTAGTCCTCGTACCACTTGAGCTGGCCGTTCTTCAGGGCGTACCTGCTGTCCCCAAACCAGCGCACCACCTCTGGCCGCGGCAGGCCTGTCTGGGCCATGATGGCATCATAGTCCTGGTTGCTGGGCCACTGCGTCTGGACGAAGAGCTGCCGCAGCAGGTGCCGCTGCTGGGCAGTCTTCCTGAGGCTGGCTCTGCCTGGGGGCTGCTCCGCCGACCTGCCGGCCCCGTCCTCTTCGGGCTCACAGGTGCCCAGCCCCAGCAGCTCGCCCCTGCCCTCGGCCTCGGTGACCCGCAGGTTCTTGAGGTTGATTTTGATGGGGCTGACTTTGCGCTCTGCCAAGCTGTGGCTGCCGGATGCTCCTGGGGAGCAGCTTTCACCAGGGACCCGCTGGCCACTGGCCGGATTCTCGTCTCCACCCTCGCCCTCGGCGGCCTCCTCTTCCTCCTGAGAGGCACTCTCGCCGGTCTTCTGGGTCTCCTCGGTACTCGCCCTCTTCCGCCTCTCCGAAAACCAGCTGTCAATCTCTCTTCGAGTCATCTTAGTCTCACTCCGCAGACGGTCCAGCTCCTCGTCAAGAGGAAGGGGGTTTTGAGCGAAGCTGTCCTCCAAGGCCCTGAGCTGTTCAGGGGCTCGCTCCTTGTATCTGGTTGGCGCGAAGTCGGGGGTCTGGTGCCAGGACTGTCGTTTGGCGGAGGGGTGGGTGGCCAGGGTGGCTGCCACGGGGATGCAGGTCACCTCGGGAGCCTTGGCTGACGGCGGGAAGGGCGCCTCCGGCAAGGCGTCGATGACGAGGGAGCCGTGCTCTCCGGGCAGCATGGCTCTGGAGCCCTTCAGGTTCCGGCAGTGGTATCGCCGGTCGCTGAACCACTTCCGCACCTCTCTGGTGCTGAGGCCAGTCACTTTGGTCAGGTGTTCGACCTCACTCTGTCCCGGGAACTGGTTCCGACAGAAGCTACCTTTCAGGGCTGACAGCTGCTCGTGAGATTTCTTATTTTTATAGATGCTGGCATCCAGGAAGGCTTGGGAAGTTATGCTGGGGCAGGCGGTCAGGAGAGACTGGGCCGCATTGACCACCTTCACAGCTGACGCGGCATTTGAGCACACAGTGTTAATGGGTGCGACAGCTGGCTGCTTGGGGGCAGATGTAACTGTGAGGGGAAGAGATGCGCTTGGCGCCTGCAACCCATTGGCCATGAGAGGCTGAGTGACCAGCAGTCCCCCTGCCGTGCCCTCTGGCTGTCCTACAACATGGCCTGGCAAAGCAGCCTGGATGAGATGCTGGACATTGCCAGCACTGGCAACCAGGGGAGTATTCAGGACGGTGATTGTGGGCTGAGGGACAGACTGAATGACGGTGTTGAACATCTTTTTCCGGGCATCCTCGATCTCCTCAGGGGACCAGCTGATACCCTGCTTCAGCCTCTGGGCTGTGAACCAGATCTTGAGCTGCTCTTCTGGATACTTGGTGACTACCGTCAAGTAACAGAGCTCGGCTTTGGTTGGGTAGGGGAACTTGTGGAAAGAGTTCTTCAGAAAGCTGTTGGAGTCCATGGCCGCATTGTACGTGGGAATGCTGCTCAGGGGGATCATCACCTTGGGCAGGGACTTGGAGGTGGGCAGTGGCTGGTGGGTGTGCTGGGCATGCACGGGGGGCTGCTGCTGGAGGGGGAGGAACTGCGCTATGCCAGCCGGCAAGACTGGCACTGTTCCTATCAGAGGCCCATTGGAGGCATGGGGGGGTTTTGCGGAGCTGGGAGGGGCCTGGCTGACTGGGATCCCCCCATTGACAAAGGAGTGGCCCCCCTCTTTCACCTCCGCTTCAGCGGCGGATGAGTTTGGGAAGGCCTCCCCCGCTGGCTGACTGGGGACGTTCTCCTTGAGCGTATGGATTTTCTTGGCTTCAGCTTTGCCTTTCATTATCTTCATGATTGGGGTTTTGGTGATGATGATCTCGGCCTGTCCATCAGTCCCTTCGGCATCTGGCTCAGCCTGCTGCTCAGCAGTGCCGGTGCTCTCAGGGACACTCTGCTCCACGACTACATGATTGTCTACCTTGGCTACACTCCACACAAAGCTGGCTTCCCCTGAGTGACTCTTGGCATTGTGCAGAGAAAGTCCCTCAGGGGTTTTTGCCAGGAAACTGCATTCAGTGCATACAAAAGTTGGGTCTTTATTAAAGTCCGTGTGCTCTGAGTTCATATGTCCCACAAACGGAGTCATGTCCTGGGACCTGAAGTCACAGTATTTACAGGAGTAGGAGTAGCCAGCCAAAGTGCTCCGATGCCCGTTGGCCAGTCCTGTGCCGTCAGAGCTGCGACAGCTCCGGGCTGCCTCGCTGCTGGCCGCAGGGGCGTCTGGGGGCAGATCTTGCTGGGGTCCTTCGGGCAAAGCCTCAGCAGGCTGGCTCTCGGCACTGGCCTCCTGCAGCACAACGGTCTTCACCGGGATCATGCAAGGAGTGGTGGACTTCCTCTTGCTGGCCATGGTGACAAGCCCTCTGGGTGGTCAGGGGTGAGAGCTTGTCCCATCAAGGGCCTCGTGGTCCAAGGTCCAGTGGCTCCATGAGGGCCAAAGAAGTAGTTTCCAAGGAGAGTTTTTCAGTTGTTTGCAGAAAGAAAAATTTCCCTATTAAGCCTGAGAGGGGGGAGAAGAAAAAATAATTATGTTCTCTGAAGCGCTCTGGAGTGTTTTTCAGACGCCCAGGCATACTCCACAGCTAGCCCTCATCGCTGAAGCCTCCCTTTTCTTTTTCAAATCTTCAAGCCCTGTGTCAAGGGCGGAGGCCTTTTCACAAGCAGCTTAGAAGCAGCACAGACCTAGTCAGGAGCCTCACCTCACCCCGAGAAAACAGTGTCCTGGAGAATTGGAGAATGACCTGAGGGTATTCCAATACCAGCTGATTGGCTTACGCCTGTGTTTTTGTTTTGTCTCTCTAAGTAACTCAGACTTTTAAAAAACAAAAACAAAAAATCCTCTTCTGGACCTCCAAATTAATTCTGACCACGGCAGGGCAGTGTGAGAACAAAAGATCCTAGTGTAGTTCTTGTTTAAATGTTTGGGCCAACAAGGGTTTTTCTTTTTATGGCCTTCCCACATAGACAACAACACCCGCCTCTGCCTCGCCCAGCTGACCAGACGCCAACTGGGCTGCAGTGTGGACCGGGCGGGGACGGAGATGGCTGCTACCCCAGCAGGTCTTCCTCTGGGGGGCAACCGGCTCCAGGGGCGGCCTCCGGGGAGGGGTGGCCTTCACACCGGCTGGGCCCCGAAGGGGAGGCTCGGCGGCCCGGCCGGCCGCGCGCCCCTGGGTGGTCTCACCGTGGGCTCTGTGCCACACGGACGCACGTGCTGGCCTCTTGGTCTTGTCCTAGTCCTTGGCGCCGTTACTGTTCCTTTGAAAGCAAACTCCACAGTCTCTGACTTATTTGAAACTCATGTGAAAAGGTGGGATGACTGATTTACTTACATGTAAAATAGTTATGTAGTAATTATTGCATGCAGTGCTACAAATATTTTTTATGATCCTTATTAACATAACATCATCATTACCTGTCTTTTAGCAAATTGCAATGCTAATAATGACTAAAACAATAATTCTAAAAACACAATGATGCTATCATTTGTGTTCGGATTTGATAAAAAATTAAAACATCTCCATTTTTTCCCCATTCAGATTATTCTTAGTAGATAAGCACAGCAAACTAACTTTTTTTAGTGTAACCATGATGACCATGATAAAAATAATTATTATTAAAAAACAGCTGTTGTGGTTAAAGCACAGCACTGCAAGCAAGCCGCAGCTGCTTTAGTGCGAGTTCAATCCCCGGCCCCGGGGCTGACCCACATGGCGCGGGCAGACCTCTCCTGACCCGCCCGCTGTCCCCCTCAGCAGTGTACTTCGTCGATCTGCCTGTTCTGCTCCCCACTCTGTCTCTGGTGATCCTTTCACGCCCCTGCATCTCTGGCCTGTACCCCAGTTCTGTATGAATAAATAAATACATCTTTAAAAAAAAAAAAAAAAACAGCTGTTGTGAGATAAGGACAAGCACAATGCCCGATCTCACCATTTGTCACCACTGATTCGAATCACCATCAGTCCCCGCTGATCTGAATGCCATGCACATACTGGTATTTAATTTTGAGTTGTAAAAGTAACAGTAAATAAATTTTAAGACATAAACGACCTATAATTTTGTATACCCTTCCATCCTGCTTAAATATTTTACACATATATTATCATAATGGGAACCACCTGCGTTGGTTTTATTTCCACTGAACATTACAAACCAAAAATATGCCCATGACATAGCCACAGTTACATCAGAATGCCACCCAGTCGTGTCCCACCGGGGAGTGAATGCACCAGCCTCTGCCATCAAACAGGAGTCCAGCTGACAATACAATGAATTCTGAGCACACAGGATGTAGTTCTTCTATCAAATTATTTCCTAAGGTTAAGTGCACAGAGATAAGTGTATCAGTTCCAGAAGCGAAGCGTCTGCGCTCCACTGGCAAGCATCTTGGCCCAAGCAGGGAGAGGTGACAGGGCAAGGGCCAGGCCAGGTATGAGGCCGCGCCTGAGTCTGACGCCTGTGCCCATCCTCATGCCACATTCACTCTAAATACTAGCTGCGCAATAAAGCCAGTGTCTTCCATTATTTTTATATTATTTACATTATGTTGAACCTTCTTACATGGGGCTTAAATATTTACAGAATGAATTATCCCAGCGTTTTGTTTTTTCAATTAAAACGGTTTGTCAGGGCTGTCGTGACCCTTAACGTGTGTAAGGTTGTGTGCTGTCAAAAGAAGAGATCTGAGTAGCGAGCTCAATTCCATAGTGGGGCTAAGTGGTCACAGTAAGGTGAGTCAGTAGAAGCCAGTAACAGAAAAGCACAAGGGAAACCGTACACTCTCTGAAATGCGTGTGGGCAGGGCCTTGGCAGTCCAGCAGATCTGTGGGCTAGAGTCACTGGACTTTGGCTTCAACAAAGAAAGGAGTTACAAAAATTCAATCTATTTCTAAGCCTGACTCCTCAAGTGCTAGAGCACTGCCCAGCCAGAGCTGGCTGGCTTCTCGCTCTCTGGGTCGCCGAGGGTCACAGTTCTCCCTGCATTCAGTAAGCACCTCTCAGCTACGAGCTCAGGACGGAGCTCCCTGTGTGCTTTCTACCTCGAAAATTCTTACTGCTGTCAAGTCATGAACAGAAATTGCCTGCTCCAGTCAGGTGTTATTGCCTCCATAGTGAACATACATTCTTTCTCAAGCCCAAAAAGGTGATTACAATGTAAATGCAGAGATCTTAGAATTAAAGGGAATTAACAGACCACATATTTCAATGACTAATCTTTGTGTAAAAGTACCTTAAAGTATCACTAGGAAGTTAGGATGGCCTCTCTGAATATCTGCAGAGACAGGAAGGTCAGCAGAGCTACTACTTAAGTTAAAAAGATGCTGGAAATGGCTCCTTGTTAGCAGCAAGCCTCCAACCCCAAATTGCCTTTCTGCGGAGTATTAAATTTAACTTTTCACTCAAAAATACTTGCGGACTTCCTATGTGTAAGTGCTATGTGCTAGGCAGTGGACAGACTAAGCTTTTTGAAAAGATGTCATTCATGAATTCAAGAAGTCAATAATCTGATGTGGTTATTAGGTTAACCTATATGCTAGCACTTGTTGTCTTTCTGGGCATGCGGGAGTTCCCTGACCACGTACCATCAGGGGTCACCAATGGAATGCAATCAAACGTGCCATGCCATCTCAAAGGAAAGCTTTAGGAGAAAGTATACGCTTCGCCTCACTACATACTCTCTAGCTGGGCTGAGGGTGTAGCTACTCTAGCAGCCGGGATCCTAACAGAACAGAAACTGCCCCCTAATGTACCCAAAGTGCAAGTAAGTAGTTCTATTTGTTGTTTTAAGTCACTGAGGTTTTGGAGCTGCTTGTTACTATAACATAATCCAGCCCGTCCTGACGAACACACAGTACAACAGAAGTCAAAGAGACTAATCGACCGAATCCAGCAACAAGCCAAGTGTAAACTTCAGTGGGAGTGCAGAAAGACTCATCGCCCACCTAAGTTTTCTGGGGGCCGGGGGAAGCGCCTCACAGAGGCGGCAGCCACTGACTTAGAGGTTTTTTGGATGAGGAGATACTGTCAAATAGACATGCTGAGAAAAGAGGGCTCCAGATCAAGGGCCCACTGCGCAAAGCTACAGAGGACCAGAAACATGGTGTCACAGAGCGACAAGGGGCCCCGCCTGCTGGCAGGTCAGGTCTGCATGTGGGGGGTGCAGCTTCTGTGACCCTCCCATGGCACCTTCCAAGGCCTATATCCATATTTTTATGAATTTACACTTATATTTGTTATGATTTTTTCCCTCTTAGGAGAGAATCCTTCCTAATGTGCAAGTCCCACAAAAGCAGGATCTGCTTTGGTAGGGTGGAGGAGCATAAAGACATGGCTGTCTGTCTCCTGAAAGGAGCTTTAGATTCACTCATGGTCTCTCCTTCCACACCTGAAAATCGTGCTCCCCAGGGCTCTTCTCCTCCCCCACACCAGTCGTGACTGTTCCTCAGCTCCTGTCCTGGCTTGGAGCCTCCGCGCCTTCCCCAGCGCTCTGCCCTTACCTGCCTGCAGGCCTTCAAGAGTGGCACCTGAACCTAAATGTCAGTCTTAGATGAGCCTGAAGACTTGAATCACTTTACTTAATGGAGTTCCTTGAGACATAGTTAGACCTTCCATAAAAGTTGTTGGCAACAAGATGGCAGATTATTTATACATCATATTCCCCCAGAAAAAAATGTGGACCTGGGCTCTTGAATTTAATTCACATCACCAGAACCAGAAACAAAATATGACACTCGGGCACTCCATATTAGGTTTGGCATACTCTGGGGAACAAGTCTTGTAGAGAAAGGGACAGTGAACTCATCTGACAGTGCTATGCCAGGCACTGTTCTAGATTCTAGAATACTGGTTAAAAAAAATACACAAACCAGCCCTCCCTGGTGGCAGAGCAGGTTAGGACACAGCACTGCAAGCTAGCACTGCAGCTTTTGTGCGATCGATCCCCGCCTGGAGGTGACCCACCAGGCACGGCAGACCTCTCCTGACCCACCCGCTGCCCCCCTCAGCAGTAGACTTCGTCAGTTGGCCTGTTCTGCTCCCCACTCTGGTGACTCCTCTCACCGCCCCTGCACCTCTGGCCTGTACCCCAGTTCTGTGTGCATAAATAAATTTTTCAAATCTTTTTTAAAAATACACAAACCTCTAAGTACAATGGGGAAAAATAAAGCAGAAGAGAGAACAGAGAGAGAGGATGGGGAAGAAGTGAGGTGTTTGGGGAGCTCCTGCAGAGACTGGGACACTGTCAGAGACTTGGAGGCGAGGTGGTGGCTGTGTGGGTATGTGGGGACAGCACTTCAGGCAAAGGCACTCGTTGGCTCAAGGGCCATGAGGAAAGTGTGTCTGGTGTGTTCAAAAACCAGCATGGCAGCCAGGACAGCCTCCTGGGAACTGCCGAGAGCAGACCAGGGCAAAGTGTTGAGGAGGCCAACTGCGCAGAGCTGTTGTGGTGACTTGGGCTTCTCTGAGGCAGGCAGAGCCATGGTGGGCTTGGATC